GAGCTTCCCAAGGTCAGCGGAGGGCACAGCTGGCGAAGCTGCCAGTATTAGTGCCTGCCAAAATGCCTGATCTCAGAGGCATGTGGATAATGTTTATAGTTTACCCAAATCCAGTGGAATGCCAGGTTCTTGGTAGGCAGATCTTTCAGAAACCAGTTTAAAAAAAAAAGGGCAAAAATCCATAAGATGCAGAAAAAAATACAGTGACAGGACGGTGGTGCCGAGAAAGGGCAGTTAGATGTGGTGCCCAAAGCACGTAGCTGCCTTTGTGGGCATGTGCAACAGCACTCAGTAAAGTGCCTTTGAAAGTGCCATGGTGCTCAGAGCAGGAAAAGGTAAATCCATGCTTAACACACAGGAGGACCTGGCTCCCAGAGCAGGCAGCCATTACAACGCTGGTACATTTTCCTCCTTTATTTTTCAAACTTTGCTTTTCTTGGCTCTACAAGACATTGAATAGGCACTTCTACTTAAATATCCATTGTGTCAGATAGGTCACTTCTTTTTTTGTGGAAAAGAGGTTGGTTATTCCTTGAAATATGCATTATTTAATACCAGTCAGTACCACCTCTGGGTACTACTGCCTTGCTGATTCACTTTGCTTCGCCCGTTTTGTCAATTCTCGTTTGGCATCTCTGAAATTATTGTGTAGCATGTGGAGAATTCACTATGTCACCTTTCCCTGTTGCAAGCAGATTAATGAATATGGTAGCCAACAAGAGTCCAGATGTGAAACTATGGGACACACACTGCAGATGTTTTGCATTCTAAAAATCCTGTTTTATTGCTCTTCTCCAGTCCTATGGAAATTTCAATGAAATTCCACACTATTGCTAGTAATGAAAATGCCTCATTTTCCATTTCTTTTGTAAGATAGCTTTTGCTAGTAACTTACTGCTTTGTTGTTCATTAGTCTACTCCAGCATGCCATTTTCTGACATTCATATCCATGGCTTCCTTTTTTTTTGTGTGTGTGTTTAGAAACAGGCAGCTCTGTGGTAAGTTTACCAGAGGGCAGAAATGGAGAGCTAAACCATGTAGTGGCTGGTTCTGTTGCCTTTGCCCAAGGTGAACAGGTATCACATCACAAATTGCTCCCCTTGCGCTCTCTGGAATTGGTTGTGGGAAGTACTGGCAGCAGGAGAAAAGCATCAGCTTTTGTCACTATATTCTTATTAATGCTCTGACTCTTTTCCCTTACTCTTTTACTTCTATAAGTCCAGCAAGTCCTCTTTGCTATTTAAATTTTTTTTTCTTCATTTTTGCCTTTGGCATTTTGCTCTTACTATCCCCTCAGCTTCCTTTCTTTAAGAACACTTTTTTTGGCTTAAGAGCCTGTCAAAAGTGCTGCTGCCTCTCCTTCCAGTTTCAGGGCATGCCTGCTTTCTGGGACTCTCTTAGATCATCTTTCAGTAGCATCTGTGGTGAGGGCAAAGCTTCTAATTTCCGCAATTTTTATAAAAAAGACATTTCAACTGTTTCCTTCCTTATCCTTGCGAATGCCTTACTTACCTAAAACATGCAATCACTATGCCTGGAGGCCTTCCCCTCACCACACGTTGAATTTAATCTCCCTTTGGCCACTCTTGGTACAGAATTCAACTGTATTTGTTTTAAACAGCTCTGGTGTGATATTTAGAAATAGCATAGAGACAAGCACACTCTCCTCCTCCTCTTACCTCTGCAGGTCTTTTGGAAATGAGTATAAAGCCATTATTATCAATGAGAAAGCAATTCAGAATCTGCAGAGATGAAAGAGAAGCAACATTAAAAATGACTTTTCCATGGTTTTCTGTTAACGTACTGCTGTGTGCAGGGTGAGGCAGCGTGGATGGGCGCTTACAGCAATTGACTCAGCCTCAGCATTTCCATGTCTAGTCCTGTCACTCAATTGCAACAGGCTTTAGACAATTCTTTTTTTTCTCTCTGTCTCCATTTTGAGGTATTCTGTCAGTGAGCTGTTTGTGACAGAGATTTTTAGTTGGCATGGCTGCATGCAGGCTTAGCATATACTGACCTGTACTTACACGGACCATACACGCTGTAGGAAGTGAGAGGGTATTTGGAGACAATTCCTCTTTAGTAATATGGTATTTTTCATCTTTAGATTCACACACAGATTCAGAGAATGGTTGAGGTTGGAAGGGACCTCTAGAGATCATCTAGTCCAACCCCCCTGCTCAAGCAGGGACACCTAGAGCACTTCATAGTCTTACAGACATTAATGAAGTAATTTATCATTTTTATTTTGTGAAGCAGGAAACGGAGCCACGGAGTTTAGATAGAAATCTTTAGGTCTCGCAGAGAGTCAAGTGGGAAAATTAGGATCCGAAGCAGATCGTAGATGAACACAGGATGAAAATCCTCTGGTGACTCCACCCTCTGGGCAGAGGGTACCCTGTCTCAAACATGCCTGAGATCAAGACTGAAGTAGTGGCGTAAAGGCAAAGAGGGGGCTCCAGCATCTCATGCTGGCAGCCACTCTCTTCAGCAGACCTGGGGTCCCCGTGGGACAGGCTTAAAAAAGATGGAGTCTCCTTAGAGTCACTGGCTGCAAATCACATACCCCTGGCTGAGCTCAGCTGATCTCTCAAAGTTGCTGCTGATACTAGGAAAGACCTAAGCTGCACGTTTGTGTCAATGGCTTGAGGTCTTGTTCCATTTGTGCAGCCTCTTGTGAGGAGATGTTGAGCAGTACTTGGTGTGAGGGGAGGCAAAGGCCTCCGCAGAACATGTAATCATTCCCATTGCAGATAAAGAGAAGAAATCTGGGCAACTTACATCATCCTGACAGCTTAGTGGACAGGCACCATCAAAGGCACTGCACTGTAAAAGAAATGCAGATATTAAGTTGTGGCATGATCTCAGCCTACAGTCTCCATTTTGGCAAGGCGGAGCAAAAGGTCTCTGTATCAGCATCCCAATAAGCTGTCTAAGTTAACTGGCATTTTAAACAAAAGCTCTATGGCTTGAACAGGCAGCACCCACCAAGGAAACCTGCTAGTGCCTCTCTGCATTCCTCACACCGTGAATCCTCCCTGAGTAATGGTGCTGAGGGCTCCAAGCCTGCGCCAGCCTCGTCTAGTGCTTTAGGCAGCTCCCTGTGCACTTCCAGCAGGGATGGCGCTTATAAAGGAAGGGGGCAGCATCAAGCTCCTCGGTTGTGATAACAAAGGTTATTGTGCACTGTCAGGAAAACAGCATGTGTTTCAGTATCTCCTCAAATCTGGACTAAATACGTGTATGGTATTTTAGTTTAGGATTATTCTTGGCCAGTTTCTTTACTTTTTTTTTTTTAATGTTGCTGTTGGTTTCTTTATTCTCTAGACAACTAATGATAAAATAGGATGTGAATGGTGCTTGTGTGGCCTGAGGCACCATCCATTTCATTTAGGATTTATGTGTAGCAGAGTTGACATGTGTTTCACAACACTGAACCGGACGGGGACAGGAGGGGTTAAGTGGTGAGTAACAAAGCCCTTCAGGTGCTTATTGATTTCATAATTGTTCCGAGTTTGCGGTGGCTGCATGTGTCTGTCTCTTTGTGTTATTTTTTAATGCTATTTTCACGAGGAGCTGAGGCAAGAAAGCTGACATGGTGTTGCCGTTTTTGTACATGGGGTCCCCTTCCTGCCAGAGGTTTTCCAGGGTCAGGGAAGGACACTGACGTGTAGCATAGCCTGGCTGCTCTCAGTCAGCTGCCCTTTATTACTGCAGAGCTCCTATATACAAATCCCAGCCCCCTTTCTGAATGAGGCTCAATAATAAGAGGTGGAACTGTCATTTCAAAATAAAATGGAGCCATTGCTTTCAGGTACATTTTGTTTCCCCTCATGCAGGACATTTGCAGGACTATACAGCATTTTTAGGTTTCAAAGGAGGCTCCGTGGTGTTTGTTTCAAGCCCTGTGGCTTTGCAATACCCCATCCTTACACTCCTGCTCTGACTGGCTCTTTGAGGCCCTAAGGATGGTGGTTTAAAGATCCTCCTTGGCCCAATGTCATGATGCTGTCGCAAGCCTAGTCTCACCCCGACTGGGTTATTTCGTGTCCAATGACATAGGGATTGAGAGCAGTGGCCTTATCCTTTATCTCAGATGGGTTTCCTCCTTTGGTTATTTGAGAAATATGGCCATAACAAACCAATATTATTGCTAAGAAATATAGATCCAGAGCTCAGAAATCAGAAGAGAAACCCACGTGCACCAAAGAGGTCATTTTCCCCCAGAATATCTCACAATGTCTTTCTGAGCAGTGTAAGGACTGATCCTCATCTCTGCTGCTGAGGACCAGATCTGGCCAAATCCAGCAGTACCCCCTGCACAAGGCTACGTTTGCAGCAAGGGGAATGAGATGAGAAGCCTGCTCGGAAGTGCAGACAGCTCACAGAGAGCCCTGGAGGGGGGCATAGCTGAACCTGAGCTTGCTGCTTGCTTTGAGACCACTACATCTACTGCCTTATCGGCACAGCTTCCTCCTTGGAGAGCAGCTACCTCACAGCATCCTCCTATTCTTGATCAGGTTTCTGAAATGCTGCAACCCAGAGCATTTTCAGCTTTGCCAAAGACACTTAATTACTGTGAAGACAAATACAGCCCGTGACAGGCTTGGCCTGTCTCCAGTGATTACAGACGAGGGACGGTGCCTGTATTGCTCTGGCACACAAACTGCACAATTACGAAGCAGAGACGCGGCGGGGCACGCCGGGATACCTCCCCGTCCAGCACTTTTGTCTACTTACATCACTGTCATTGGGCTGGGAGGCAGGAGGAACAGCGTGGACATGCAGAGCAGCGCAGTGTGCATTGACAGGGGAGAGAGAAAACAAAACCTGTTAGTCATTGCCCTGTCAAACTGCAGTCATGTCCTGGGAAACCATACGGATTTTTTCCTATAGGCACCTATGAGGACCACGGCACACAGACGCCTGGCACAGGGGCCTCCTTTTAGCTTCTTTGATAAACCTTCCCGGTTTCACTTAACACTTGAAATGAGAGTGTGTTGTGTCTGCGTGGGAACTGCCCGGCTATAGCCCTCAGGAGATTTTTAAAATTAAGCTCTCTGCCAACACTTCAGGATGTGCTCACACACTTTGCATAAGTCCTTCTAGCTCAGGTTAGGTTTATCTTAGGTCTCAATCTCAGATCTGCTACGATACCTCCTCCTGCTGCCACGGACAACTCTGGCTTTTTCCATTCTTCATGTGTTCTCTGATGGTGATCATCTTCCTGCTCTCGCGTCACTACACAGTCACCTTATGACAGTTCCCTCTTTTCAGCAGGTTTCTGTTGTGTACCGCTTTAGTCCTACAGGATTTTTCTCCCTTGTACGGTGCCCCAAAAGCAAAATCTGGGGGAAAGCCCCTGAACAGCAGCAGAGAAGTGCTTCATTTTTCCTGCCTCGCAGGCAGGAAATTATTGTTAAATTATTGTACTTCTCTTAGTTCAGCGAGAGTGTCTAAAATCAGCATAACACTGAACGCTCATCCCTAGAGCAAATCATTTTTATTTTGGCAAGCTACTAGCATTTTGTTCCCATTATCAAGATGATAAAAGAGGGCAGTAGATTTTGTTTTCTACGTGTCCAGAACTGCAGATTTCCGTGAAGTTTCTGAAAGGCTGAATGAGCAGTAGTGCACTGCCACAATTAAATGTGTCATGGGCAGCAGAGCTAATGCCAGGCCAGGATGCCGACACCGTCAGCACAGCATGTGTGGAACAGATTCATGGCTCACATGGCATTAGTGCCGTCAAAGGATTACAGAAATGTGTGACTTCAAACTAATCTATTCCATAAATCTTTTAATATATACTTCATTGAAGCCCTTGCTGAAATGCCATCGTACATGATGCAACCTGGCAGCGGCCTAGCTGACAAAGAACGTTTAACCGTCTCTCTGAGTGACTGCTGATGCTCCTACCTGTTGCATGGCCATCCAAAACTTGCGTTGGAGCAATTCCAGCTTAATTTGCACACCCACCGCTATGAGAAATAAAAGGGGAAGGATGAAAAGAGGAATGTGAGAAAGAGAGGGATAGAGAGAGAAAGATAAACACAAGTTAGGCGAGGAGACGTAAATATTTGCCCAAAGTAATGGGACGGAATTGCAATTGCAACCTGCTTCCAAGTGTAAATGATAAGCACTGACGGATAAGCACTGAGTCAGACTGTCAAGTGAGAGTCAGAGGTTTAACAAGGTAGGGGAAAAGGAGATGTTGACTGCTGTTCTGAAGTACTGACACCTCCCACCCACTAAACACTGCAGAGATACAAACAGATTAACAACAACAACAAAAAATACAAGGGAGCGAGTGTGAACTTTCGTCTTTGTCTGCTGTAGATTTATCAGGCTGGAATGGCCTTTTATGAGGCTCATCTCCTCATCTGCTATGTAACACAGGCTAAATCAGAAAAAAAAAACAGGCCAGTTTGAGGAAGAGATTTGAATGCCAACCCATCTCAAGAGGAGACCAGAGTGATTTAGATAGCCATTAAGCCGCTACAAAAGCAGAGAAATACTAATGCCTCTTGATGGAAACGTGTAGATCAGAACTGCTTAGCTACCTGTTGCCAGTCTATTGCACACTCCTCCAAGCAGAAGAGTGTGTGTTTGTGTTTTGATGAAGTGCATCCCTATTTCTTGGCTTAATCGCTGTTCCTTCCCCAGCATTACGTCCCTGAAGTGAGGCATAACTCTATGTTAGAAAAAAAATGTGCAGGGCCTCCCTGACAGAGTAACACAACTATCCCTTGGGTAGGTTGCCTGCAAGTACATCCTAGCACTGTGACAGGGGAGAAACAGGCCAATGAAAGAGAATGTAAGGTGAAATGAGGGAGAAAAGAAAATAAAGGGAAGGAGACTCTGAGCCTCTTTTCGGAGCCACCAGTATCAGGCAGATGATACCTGCTTCTGGTTCTGTAGATTTCTTCTGAATTAACGGGAGGTGCATGGGAGGAATGGAAACTCACTTAGGATCATTCAGATCTGAATCACACTATACACTATGTGGATACTTTTAAGTTAACAGTCTGATGCTGTAATTCAGCTGGGTAAGAATGAGAAGCAGAGTATGCTATATTTTCTTGCAGAACGTACAGAAAACCTGGCAGCTGGCATCAGCTGGAATGACAGCCATGTTGCATCAGCTCTGCCTTTTATACCAGTGTCTGTGTCCCTCTCGTCACATTCCCATTGCTGGTTCATCTTACAAAATCCCCTTTATGGGCATGTTTCTTAACCAGCTCTCCCTGTTGCAGAATGCTCTGTCTTTAAGTGAGTGGGTAAGGGGGTTATTTTGTACAGCTGCCTCAAAGGGCACAAACCAGACAAGATACAACGTTCACTGGAGATCATCCATACCTGTGAGAAAGGACATGAGGAGTTCAGCCCTGGAAAAGAGTTACCGACTTCAGCGGGTAGGCCCAGGTTGGCTTGTTGCCCCCACAGACCAAGTGTTGCCAGCTGGCAAATGGTGCCCCAATGCGAGGTCATTGACATGCAGGAGATCTGGTGTGTAGCTTTCAATGAATTCCCTGTTATCATTTAAAAGTATCTCAAGCAAGATCTTTTCTGCTTTTTCAGAGCAGATCACACTGGTAGGATTGAGCGTATCTTGGCACATGCAGGTTATATAAAACATGAGGAGAGGTTGGTATCTAGAAAACTAACCTTGCAATGCAGAGACTTATTGAGCAGTTGGTGTTTTTATAAGCAGGGACACGTATCCAGAAATAATTTCTCAAAGGGACCTAAGATCGCACCAGAGGGAATCACTACCCCATGGTCCTTCACTCAGGGGTGGAGTGGCCATTCCTGGCAAGAATTAGAAGAATCTTCCATGTATTCAAGTGCTATGAGGGAGCCTCCCAGAGTAGTAATGAATAGGTGCCTGGTGAGCACCTTCTGTCCAGCGTAAGGAGAAAGGAGGGAAGCAACATCTCAGTTGAAGTAAAGAATCATTCCACAGCTCGGATGAGAGGGAGGAAACTAGAATAAAAGCCTCTCTGCTTGTTCCAAAGCATAGCTGAGAGATAATGGTCCTTTTGCTCTGGTGGCAAAGCACAGGCTGCAGGAGCAGAAAGATCCAAGGTCCAGGAAATTCCAACTGGCCCTGGTGTGCGGCACAGCAGCAGCCACGAAGCCCTTGGAGAGACCGTGGCTAGCAGCTGTACTCCTGTTAATGCCCAGATAGCCCAAGCAGCACGAGGACCAGCAGTGCCGCACACCCTGCGCTCCGCCACGCCGAGGAGCCCCTCGAGCCGCACGTGGTGCCCAGTCGAATGTCCGGGCGCGCTCGCGCGGGGCCCGCGCCATCGGCAGCTCTGCCCTCCGCCTGCTCGTGCCTCCGCGCAGCACTGCCCATGAGCTCATCCTGAGCTTGGCTGCCACTCTGCCTGCCTTCCCTGCCTTGGCTCCTGGAGTATCCGTATGCTGGTTTTATAATGCACTTTCCTCAACATTTAATGCTCTGGCCTAGCACACCACAGGAAAGCGTAATTAAGAGCCATAAGGTTACATCCCGGTGACCGCTTATCGAGATGGACCTCGTCATCCAAAAACTTGTTTGTGTGGTGGCTGGTGTGAGTTTAAACAAAAACCAGGATGCCAAAGAAAGCAGCAGAAGAGCCCTGCCTTTTCTGCCCATCTTCATTCCCTCTTTCTTGAAACTGAAATATTTCAATTTTCCTCTTCAAGCCAAAACAAGCTGCTCCATTCAGTCTAAGGAAAGTCCAATACATTTCTTACTTAAAATAACTTCAAGACAAAATAACAAAAGCTCAAATCAAAGGCAGACAGCCTACAGTACTGGAGTTCAGAGAAGAGGCTGTTAAAGTGGATCAGCAAAAATATAAAAAATAATCCTTGCAAGCTTTAACTCCTGAGCACGCAGGACAAAGGCAAGCGAGAGGTTGCGGAAGGAGCCCAGGGAGAAGCGTCCCAGAGGTGGTGGGTTGGATGTGGGGCCTCACCACCCCACCGGGTTGCCTCCTGTAGGGCAGGGGCCGTCTCCACCGCTGCATGGATGAAGCTACGAGCAAAACCTTAGTGCTGGGTGTCCCGGCTGCCCATGCTCTGCCCACTGCACACTGGCTCCACGGGAGAGAACCACATGTGCAAGAGCCCCCCTCGCGCCCATTCCTCTCCTCACAGCTCTTCTCCACTCGCCCCTTGCAGTCCTCAAGTTTTCCCTGAATTGCCAAGGAAGTGAATACCAGGACACACTCTGAACACACTCTGTTTGTGCACTGGGTGTTCCCCGAGCCTGCTGTGCCAGCCACACTTTGTCCGCTTGCCGAGGGCTTCACCAAGCCCCTGTGTAACACAGTAACACGCAGCGCCCTACACCCCTCTCCCCACCAGGGAGAGTGAGGGTCTCAGTTGCAAGCCCCAGTGTCTCCCTGCTTCCTCCCCTTCCCAGCACCTGCCAGCCTCATCCCTGCACAAAGCCGTCACACGGGCGGCTTGTCCCCTTCCCCTTGGCGTGCCTTTCTCCCCGGGTTGTTGTGATCAGCCATGGCAGCGCGGGGGGCGGGAGGAGGAGGCACTCGAGCTCAGCCTCTCGCAGCCTGTGCTCCGGCTCGCACCAATCTGCCAGGCCCCCTGCCCCGTGTCCCCGCACCCTCCTGGAGCCCTGGGCACCGCTCTGCGGAGGGCGACGGAGCAGGGCGGGAGGCGGGAGCGCGCGCCGCCGGGGCAGACAGCGAGCTCTTTGGCCAGCATGGGGTGAGAGGCACCCAAATCCCGCGAGCTCCTTCCGCCGGCTGCCGCGGAGCGGAGCCTGCCTGCTCGGCGGGGCGATTCCTTGGCCGTGTGCGCGCGCGTTCCCGTGCGTGAGCTGCTGCCACCGCATATGTACCCCCAGCTGTCACTTCACGGCGCTCAGTCGCTCCCTCTGCCGCCTCCCTCTCTCTCCCCCTATTTATTATTTACAGAGGATTATAGTCCCTTTCCCACGCTGCCACCTAACCGTGCTGCTTCCCTGCCCGCCGCACGGGGCAACCGGCTGGCGAGCGCGCAAGGAGACGAGGGCTCGTGCCAACAGGGGTCCAGCGAGAACTCACCGGGCAACGGAGGGAGTTTCTGCAGGATTTGCTTTGGGAATTGCACAGGGTTCGCTGGAAGAGCTGGCTCACAGGAGGGTCCGTCCTAGCCTGGGCACAGTAAGTAGAGGCTCTCTTGTCCGTATATCCCCTCGGTTACGTGAGATCTTTCAGTGGGGCTGCCCCCAAGGAAGCAGCTTCCTCAGGGAGGAGACTGGCAGGCAGGGACAGCACCGGCTGCAACTCGGTGCAGCAGAGAAATCCCAGTTGTATGAGGCTGAAGGGCAGCAATTTTCCTGATAAGGCAGAGTGACAACTCGGCCGCGGAGGCTGATGGTACTGGTTTGAGTCCAGTTTAAGTATGGGGCAACTTCTCCCAGCTGTGAAGGGCACCAGCACCGTTAGCTATAGGACAGACAGCTCAAGTGCAGCTTTGAGGCCAAGTGCTTGGTGCAGTGGTTGGGCAGTTTGCTGGTGACCCTGGCTCCTGTCCCCTCCTCAACAAAGTGGTGTGGGTCTGACACTCCAGACCCACCTCACCGGACTGGAGGTGGCTTTGCTGGGAAGCATTTTGGTCTCAACAGCTGTCTTTAGTAGGAAAAACCTAAAATGGAGAAGTGAATGAGGGCTAAAATTGGATGGGGTGACTGACCCAAAATTCAGTAAACTGACTGTAGGATGTGTTCTCTGTGCGTGTGTGTTGTCTGCGTGTATGTGTTCACACATAGAGCTCATGGACCATGTCACAAGTGGGGCCAAAAATAAATCCTGAGTCGTTTCCAGAATCCCTGCAGGCTGAGCCTGTGATCTCTGAACTTCTGGGAGCAAGGCATACCACAAGGGATGGGGCTGAATACAGCACGGAAAGACTGGAGAGCCTTTTCCAATATTGCTACTAAGGGCAGCTCTGCCTGCAAGAAAAGGCGGAGGAGAGAGTCCTAAATGAGCTGATGTGAAGCCTCCTATGGATTTTGCTTCAGGCAGGAAAATACATATGTGCGTGTTAGTCTGTGTGCATGCGAGTGTGTGCATACACACACATGTGGAGACACGTGCGCACATATATATCAAGCAGGGCATTTTCGCCTGCTTCCTCTGCTGCCTGCCCAGCTTATTGCTGCCACTGCATCTCATTCTAATTAAGAGAGACGCATAAAATCAGAGCTCTCCTGGTCTGGGGAGAAGAGATGCTTGGAGTTGGCACTCTAACCAGGTCATTACTGAACCAGGCCCCGGGCCTGCAATTTGGATTGTCAGGTAGATTGAATGTGCAGGTTTCAGCGCATCCCTGGCTGGAACGGCAGCTAGCAGAACGCAGCGTGGCTCTGCTGCCGATTCCTGCTCTGCCTCTGAAGGATTGAGAGAAAAATTAAGAGCTCAGTTTGATAAGAGCTTGAGCAGCTGCTGTCCAGAGTGCTATTAAACACCCTTAAAGACAAGGTCTCCCTTAAAGGTACAGATGGACTTGTCACGAAGCAGGGGATATTTGCAGCTGCGAGGAGAAGGGGGTGCCTTTCCAGAACCTCAGACTATTTTTCTTCTGAGCTTTGTCACTTGGGTATGTTTGGGGAGACTGGATTCTCCTCTAACTGCTGTGGGCAAGACACATTTGCAAGGGAATTATTCCACATGAGAGGAAGGCTGGAGGGAGTTGTCTCCCTCTCAGACATCAGTGCAGTCATGTTGTCCACTTGGAGGAATTCATGGTAAATCCTGAGCAAAGAGGCTGTATACAAAGAGAAAGGGGGGAAGCCCTCTTATGTAATCTATGCCACATCATAGCTTTACCTTTGCTTCCAGCAAAGTGAGTGCCGCACACTAGCAAGGTGCACGCAGAGCTTGGCTATCGTCATGAGCTACTCCAGCCTCCTGCCCTTCCCTTGCCTTCCTGCACACGGAGCTGGAAAGGGTTTCCAGGGCTCGTCGGAAGCACAGAAGCCGACGAAGGCAGAGCTGCCCCCTCGGCGAGGCAGTGCGGGCCTCAGCAGCACAGGGCCATGAGGACACCCCGATGGGGAGCCCTGGAGGCTGGACTGGAGCATGGTCAGCCCAGGGCAGGCTCGCTCCTGTAGGAGGGTATGTCCGGGTAAGACTCCAGCGACTCTTCAGCACTTGCCTGTTGCTGATTCAGATGAAAGACCAAGCGTTTACCCTCGCTTGCCATGTTTGGTTACAAGAAGCTGCTTAAAGTGCTTGACATCTGTCCCAGTCCTGGGTGGCTCAAGTAGTAACCCAAATGACCATACTGGGATGCTCCTGCAAGCTGGGTGCTGCTCTAAAATGCTACACCATGACACACACTGCACTTCTCAGTGGGAAAGCGCTGACGTTAGAGAGTCCTGGAGTCTTTCCGCTCAGGCTGCAGACTAGCATGAAAACAGCCTGTAACACATGGCCTGTCCTGCTGTAGCTTTGCTGAAATATTTGCTCACAGAAATGCTTTCTGAGACTCAAGGCATCCTAATACCAGGAAGAAACAGTTGTTTCTGTGTGCTAGCTTAGGTTGGATGGATCAAAGGGGAAGTTGCTTCACCTGTGAGAGGTGGGATTACATGAAATTCTGTTTTATTCACATTGCAAATCAAGCCCTTGAAAGTTAGGAAGTGTTGGGATCCAGGGCACCATGCCATCTGCACTGGCTTGCAGTCCTGGCTATTATGATCACACACTGTATTTTCATTCGGCTGCCTTGTCCAAGGCACTGCATGCACAGCTCTCAGGGAGAGAAGCAGGGGGTTGTTATGATTTTGGTACTGTTGCGTGTGTGCCTTTTTTATTTGTTTATTGCCTGTCATCCAAGCCCTGCAGGCAATACATCATTATTCATTGCTTCGCGGTGTTCTGAAGATGTTCGCTGCTCTAGTTGCTTCATAGATGATAGAGAATTTATTTTCCTGATAAGGCAATAGAATGGTTATTTTCCTTGCTGTTGAAGGGGAAAGAGATTTGCCCCTTAGCCACAGGTGAAGGAGCAGCAGGTGCAGGAGTGGAGCTTGGGACCTCTTGGCTCTTAGCGCCTCTGATGCCTTGAGCCCACAGCAGCTCCCTGACTAAACTGTCAGCATTTTGCAGAACATCCGCTGCGAGTGCTCAGCAGTTCTGCAAAATGGCCCCTTGGGTCTCCTGTTGGGCACCCGCAAAATTGGGAATGTGCAGATTGACCACCAAAACTGTGGGTTAGTATTTTACATTGACCATATAAAAATGGTCTCATTTATTACAACATCCTGATTGTTATCCTATGTATCGTGCATTCTATGCATGGAGTATGGGACATGGTCCCGTGGAAAAAATAGATAGCACTTGATCAACACACAAAGGCTGTGTTGTAATACATGTACGCAAGTGGGTGAATTAAGGTCATGCAGGTATTAACTAACACATAAGTGCTTAGCTTTACAAATCAAATGGCATATTTTTCATATAGATTTTTTAAAAATGAATATGACACTTTGATTCTTTTCTTATGGATGGAAAAAACACTTTCTCTTATCTAGATGTGGTAACTCCTCATACCCCTCATGGGATGGACTGAGACCTAAATTTACGTCAGGGCCACACAAGCCTGAAGTCCATGAATGCCGGCACGCAAAGGCTTCTGACTCTGAAATCAGGCCCTGAGCTCATTCCGCTCCTCACCCGCAGGAGGCTGCGGGACTTCCTGCCCCGCGTATTGTTCCCTCACTCGAGGAATAACATTGTAGGATCACACTGTGACTCTGAAGGAGAGCTGTTAGAAGAAACTTGGCTTAACACTCACTGTTTGTCCTCTTTCTATTCCTGGCTAGGTCCTCTGATGCCAGTGCTCTCCAAAGCACAGTGTGTTGTTGCTTCAATTTTGCTGCGAGGAGGCAGAGGGGCTGAAGGAGGATCTTGCTCTACACACTGGCATTTAGTGATTTTGATGGGATATGGATGTTACCTCACCTGTACTCTTTCCATGGCTGCAACCCCCCCCAGAGATCTGGTCACTGATCAGATCTGAAGATGTTCCCCAGGCTCAGCGAGCTCTGCAGCATGGCACATGTGCTAGCTCACATGGATCTGGGCAGCCATGCTGGAGCTCTGGCCAGCAAGAGCCATCACCACCTCTTGTTGAGGTGAGGGCAATGCTGCCAACTTCTAAAGCTTGGAAGCATATCCCAGTGCTCCTCGGGCACCACTGGTGCTGCAGGCAGCAGCCTGGACCCTAGGCAGTTTGCATGGACATTGACTGCAGGGAGGCCCCTCTTGGATGGTCTGGGAAGGTGATGGAGAAGAGGGAGAAGGAGAAGTCTGGGGCCTCTTTTAACATGCAGCACAGGACTCCTTGCGCCACAGGGGCATCCAAGTGAAACAGATCCATGCAACTCACTAAGGCAGAAAAAGAAATCAGCAGAAGGTCTTCAGAGTTCAGTATAAATGCATCATGTGCGAACAATGAGAGTCAGCTTTTCCTTGGGAAGTTTGCCAGGAGCTGTGAGTGTGCTGGGTCACTGATCCCCTTATGATAAGAGCAGAGAGGATTTTACTGCTGGCATCCTGCACTCTGCCCCACCACTGCGCATGCATGACTGATCCCTGCCCCTGTGAACATGCCAGGGGCACGAGCTTGTGAAGTGAGACGGCACCGAAGTTCTGCCTCAATCCACAGCGTTTTCTAAATCCTCTTCCTGCTCTCCTCCAACTGGCAAAGCGGTGATGGGCCTGGCAGCTGATGGTCTGAGAGCCAGCAGCTAGGGGAGCGCACTCAAGGTGCTGGGAGAGAAAGAGTGAGAGTGACTCTGTCACTCAGCAGCTTAAGTGGCAGCAATTCCATCACATCATTGGCTTCTCCACCATGCGGGAGCAAAAGTAACTACTTAGAAGACCAGGGAATTTGGGGTCCTGACATCTTTCAGCACATAGACTACCTTAAGAGGCAAAGCCAGTTCCTGAGCAGACACTGGCACGAATGAGGACAGATCAGCTTGCATGGGACAATTCATGTGCATGGGATCACCCAGATTTACAGACCATTGCATTCCAGGAACTAGGAAGCACAAGCAAAGAAAGCTTTATGCATAGAGCATCTCAACTCTTGGGTCAAGTAAGCTATAACAAGATATAACAGGTTTTTGGTTGGTTGGTTGATTGGTGTG